GTTATGGTTTTCGGTCCAGTAAGCCCCGGTATGTGGTAAGTTTAGGTGCTCCGCTAACAAGGTCTCCTGTAGAGAAATATAGTGCACGCATTTTTTACCGATGAAAGGAATTAACAATATTTAAGAAAAGGATGGTTTTTATTGGCTTTTAACAATGATAAAAGGAGAAAATCTTATTATAGCAAGAACGGCATGGGCTCGGAATTTAGAACGAGTATTTATAATTATCAGAGTTTTGGCCATAGTTTTTGAATCTGTAATTATATATTTGTATAAAAAAAGAATATAAAATAAACTTTAGAGAAATTATATACATATATATATATATATATATTCGAATAAAAGACATTGCACATCTATGTTTCGATCGTTTATCTAAACTACATCATCCTCTAAACACATAAAATAGTATTAACATTGCTTGAATTTGGATATGGTTAAATAAACAATCTTCAAAATTGTATTTAAAAAAATAAAAAGAGAGAAATTATGGCCAAGTTCGAATTTAAAACGCTATAAAATTTTCTAAAAATACTTCAGCTTATTGAAAGATAAATTTTAAGTTATTATATAATTTATTCAAGCGCTAGTAAATTGGCTGTTGGCCAAATATAATCTCGTGTGCATACTTAATGTACCAAAAATATCATTTATAATGAAATTATGTAAATTTTTTATAACCACACCATTTTATTCTAAGCAATTTGCTATTTTGTACACATAAAAGTTATTTAAATGTTAATATGCAGCTCGAAATGGCACTTATTGAGATGCCGTCCGTATAAATTTCAATAAAAAATACAAGTCAAAACATCACTTGATCAAAAAGTTGTACAATGGATTGCATCGCTTTTCAGCAAAATGCATTATAAATCTATTACTAATATATATATATATATATATATATATATATATATATATATATATATATATATATATATATATATATTTAATTGCCTCATCTCTTAGCTATTTTGAGACTTCATTAACCAAAAAATCAACAAATATTTCATGGCCATGATAAAATATTTTTAAGAGTCTGAATACTATAGTCTGAGTCTGCATATCTTTGCTTAGAACAGGGATGGTCAAACTTTTTGGGGAAGAGTGCCACTATCTGTTTAAAAAAAACTATGCGTACCTCTTCTAACTTTTCCAAGAAAAAAAAAGGTGAAAAAATGTTACTTACTTATTATGGCTTATTATGGAATTTTTAAGCAAATAGGACATTTTTTATGGAAGTCTAAGCAGTGAAAATTTATGAATAAAGTAGTAAGTAAGACAAAAGTACAAGCAATTATGTTTCATTGCTGATTAACTTTTTAATCAGTTAGATTAAATCAATTAGGGTTAGGTATCAAATAAAAATAGCAACGTGAGCTTAGAACATTGTTAGCTTTTGTACATACTTCTTGCATTGATGTGAAATGTGTTAATCTTTTTTCTCCAAAATCAAGATAAGAGAAGCAAAAATTTGTTCACAATTGAAGATATATGATGAACTAGGGTAGAAAAAATACAATATTTTCCCTGTAAAAACATTTAAATTTTTAAATTTCCCATAATATCGGCAAAAAAAGCTAAGTCCCATACTCGAGTACCAAGCACTCAGTGAGCAGTTCGTTGCTTACTTTCAGATATTTTAAAACGCGTTCTCTCAAATTTCAAAACTTCACGACTGTACTTAATTTGGAAAACAATGGAACACACAACACACATTGGAATACACAACACACATTGGAACACACAACACATATTGGAACACACAACAATGAAGGAATATTCTCTACGTGATAATTTTCTGTGGTAATTTAAATAATTAAGTGCATTTAAATATATTTTGAGTTTTTTCTTTTTGTATAAGACAACCGCATTTCAATAAAATTGTTAAAAAATTGTTTTTTATTACTATATTTGGAAAATTAAAACATTCGAAAAAGTCTTCACGTGCCTCTGTATCAACTCCACCGTGACACGATTTGGTCACCCCTGGTTTAGAACAAAAAGTTTACTTACATTTTTATGAGTGACTGTGAATGTGTAATTTATGAATATGAGAAAGATATGAGTTATATAAATATATATATATATATATATATATATATATATATATATATATATATATATATATATATATATATATATATATATAACGATAAATACTTCAAACTCTCTATATCATTTTCTAAAAAAAAATGGAAACGGTACTTAATGCAAGTCAACCTATAAACGCATTTTAATAAATGTTCTTAAATCACTCATGGATTCTAACTTCGTCCTTTCATTTTTGGTCGATTTTCATTAGGTAGGCAAATGATATTTTAGATCTGAGAGATTATCTGTAACTCTATTCAGGTTCATGGCAAGTGATCTATTATTTTTATAAAAAATATTTCATCTTTGTTTCATTTTCTTCTTTAATACTAATAAAACTTAAATTATAAATTTGAAACCTTAGCTTAATAATATGAATTTAATGTGTGGATCGCATTAATGGCATTTGTGTGAAGACAATACTTTTTAAGGAAACGCGTATTTTACCTTTTTTTATCCTATTAAATTCTTCAATGAATGATAATAACATAATGAAAATTGCTCAATTACTGTTTGATTTACCTTTTGGAAGGTCTTTTTTTCACATTTAATAAAGCATAATATTTAAAAAAACAAAAAGAAATGGAACATTAACATAAATTATTATTATCTAAAAAAAAGTCGGTACACAAAGATTATAAAATACATTCATCAAATTATTGAATTAGAAAAATAAATACAAAAAATTCAAAGATGATTATTGCGTGTGATTTGAGTTTTACTATTTGACTTCATATCTGTAACAAACAGTTCTTATCGCATAAGTTACTTCTTAAAATCCTTATATATTTCAAGTATGATAATACCTAAAATTACACTATGATGTTTCAATAAATGATGATAATTCTTACGCTAAGCAACATCAATTCAGGGAGTCAATGCTTAAGAATTACAAATTAGTTTACCAAAACAGTTGCAACAATGTCGAAACTACAAAACATCATGAATGCTGATTTTTTTTTTAAAAAAAGGACTCAATGAACAGGCAACGTTACAGGGCAAAATTGAACAGGCGAGTTTTTATGGTACACACATCAATTGTGTTCGGTGGAACACTCTTGGGTATATGCGATGTTTTGTTGGGTAGATCACCCTGCCTAAGGGTCGGGGTTTCGGGTAGGGATGTACCGGAAAGAGGTACCTGTGGTCTCCTGCTTTATCAGCTGCAAAGGGGAAATGTGTATTGAATGAATCAGCACGGTCAGGCTAGAGCCTAAGAAATCCAAGGAACAAGAGCATCCACTTTCTCTAATGGCAAAAATCGATCCAAAGTGACTCGGTCTTATCGTTGGTTTCTTGGACCTCTAGGCTTTAATCAGGCTGCTTGAAAGCCAAGCTATGTCCCAATTTTTTCGCCAAGTCTCTTTTCTCTGGTCTCTTTTTTCTCCCTTTCTCTTCCTGTGTCTGTGCGTGCTATTTATTTATTTTTTTTCTATCTCTCACTCTTTTCCCTGAGAGGACTATTCTTCCGTCCTGGTCAAAACTTTTCCATATTCTCATTCGCGCAGCCTTGATTCTTTCTTTTAAGCTTAAAACTTATCTCCTTTTTACTAGAGTTAAAAGAAAGAATGAGAGCAGAAGAGAAGAAAATATTTTTTATCTCTCTCTCTATATATATATAAATAAAAGAAGAGAGTTTTGCAAAAGAAGAGAGAAAGAAATGATTCCTTTTTCATAAGATCATTCTGCCCATAAATCTGGGGTTCGGCTGTTTTATTTTTGTTAACTTTTCAAAAAGCTCATATAGGTAGATATATAGATAGATTTGAGTATACAAAAGTAGATCTCTTACCCCTGCAAGAATCATTAGATTGCAGAGTGAGTTTAGAAGTTTCTCTCGGATTTTTTGGGGAGTTCCCTGCCATCATTTTCAGCTTCGGCATTCCCCGTTTGATATACTTAGGTGAAAACCTCGAGCACGCCTTGCATTTCAGAAGATGAAGCGCGTTGCATAAGAAAACCTTTAGTGTAATGTTGGGTTTGCCTACTTTTTGGCCGATATGAAGAAAGCAAGCACATCATTGAAATAAGAAGCATCAAGTTATATTGAAAACTTTCGAATTTCTGCATCCGAAGAAGGTGAAGTCGAACCGACATTTGAAGTCTCTTTCGCAATTTTGAAAGATATTACTATTTTTAGACAACAGTTTTCGAGATTTACGAGAACATAGTTAAAGATTCAGAATTATTTCAGTACAATTATAATGAATGATAAAAAATATTTAATGATAAAAAAAATAATAAGTTTTCAGTGCTACAGAAAACAATGTAATTTCATTAAAACTCGGTAAAAATACAAAAAAGTCACAAATAAAGTAAAGAAAAAAAATGACGATGAAGTTAAATTTAGGAAGTCTAACTTATTTTTATAAAATGAATAATTGCAATATGATAGTAATTTTAGATTATGAGTTAAGATGAACTTATTGAATTAATGTGTTAAAAAGTAGTAAATCTTACGAGTTTCACTTAAAATTAACAATCCATCCGTTTTATTAATTTAAGTACCAACGCTATAACCACAGTTATATAAATTTTTAAATATTACGTAACACAACCAGTATTAACTACATTTTGAAATGCTTACATTATTCTTCATATATAGCTTTGACATGAGGATAGATGCACTTTTGTTTATTTTACGCATATTTTATTCAATTCCTACCTATTAGTTCACACTCTCCCTATATATATATATCTTGTTCAAATTTTCAAATGTTAATAAAATACTTTTTATTCCTTCAGTCAAGCTCAGATGCATATTTTAAAACTTGTAGTGGATGACATTTGATGTTAATACAGTTTTTTTGAAACATTAATTCATTAATTTTTCAATAAATGAATAAGTAGTAACAAACAAAAATACTAGTCCAACACCATATATAAAAAAGAAAATCGTTCGTTGTGTCCCAGTAGAGCAATGGATAGCCCGTTGGACTTCTAATCCATAGGTCGTGGGCGCAATTACCCCCTGGGACGGCCTAATTTCTGAGAATGTGATTTCTTTTCACTACACTATTTTATTGGAGTAATTAAATTTAATTAATGAATAAATAACTAACAAACAAAAATAACAGTCCAACACCATAAATAGAAAGAAAAATGGAAAGTTGCAAGGAAAATCGCTTTCTATTTTGCCACTTAATATTGTGATTCTGTTATACGTTATACACGTATATTAATTGTAATTATTTAATAAAAAGTAACTACAATAAAAATTTTCTTTGTTTACCTAAGTAGGGGATTTGACTTAAAAAAAAATTTGTATTACTTGTTTGAGGTACATTCAGTAATTGTTACATGTAGGCTTTGTAAAGATCTTCATAAAAATGAGGATCTTAACAAATCATTTTTACGAGAGTGTCTTAAAAGTCAAAATATACTTAATATTCTTGAGAGATATAAAAAAAAATCACAAGCAAAAAATTCGCATTCGGTTAAAAGAGGAGAAAAAAAATGTCACATATAAAAATTTTTTCTGCCTTTTATACACTAAAAGACTTTATAAGATTCAAACAAATAAATTATCTGTATAAAATTTTGAAGTTGTTTTCAGTTGGCCAATATCAGCTTACGAATAAAAGAAGTGAATTTGATCACAACAATTTTTTTGGTTACAATTTCAAAACATGATATTCAATAAGTTTTTTTACCTAAAACACCTGAAATATCATAGTCAGTCTGATATAAAATAATGTAACAAATTTTGTCACGAACTATTTATTTTTAGGGAATATTTTATTAATTAAAATAAACTGTAGGAAAATTTTGTATTTCACTCTTTTGATATAAGACAAAAAAAATTAATTGTACATTTGATAAGTCCCTTGTTTGAGATTTCTAATTTAACATTTCTGTAACTTCGGGTTATTTATACATTAGTATTGCAGGTAAACATTAGAAATAATATATCTGTTTTACATGTTCAATGTATATGCATTTTGAAACGAGCCGGAGTTCATGTAATTGTTGAGTAAAGAAGAATGAACATACATTGTGTGTGTCAAAGTATCTCAATGGTAAATATTCTTTGGAAACAAAATAAACCCCGAATCCTAATTAAAATAATAATGATTCACTTAAGGGGACTTGGCACCCTTTGAGCAAACTTCTTTACTTACGTATTTAAAAATTATATTTTAACATTTTATTAAATGTTTCTATTCAAGAAAATGTTACCAGATGAAAATTTTCATATATTATTCACACAATTTTAAAAATTTAAATTTTTGAAGAAAATTGGGAAAATTTTAAAAATCCTACTCCTTTTGTAAAAACTAATTTTTTGACCTGAAATTTTTTATAATATTCTTATGGATGTTCTTAACAACTTTAGGGATCGATTTTAGAATAACTTCATTCGTTTTCGAGAAAAAAAATAAAATGTTGATATACAGGCTAAAAATCAACGAAAAGCCAACATGTCTTACATTTTATTTTTTTTAAAAAAAAGTATTCAGTTTATAGCAAAATTTTATCCTAATTTTATTACATGCTTTATTTTTAACAAGCAGGAAAAAAATTGAAGTGATTGGTAAATAATTGTCGAAGGAGTAGCATTTTGAATGCACTAAGGTTTCGAAAAACACAAACTGAGAAAAACCACTTTAAAGTTTATAATTCTGAAAAAAAATAATTATTATAAGCTTAATTAAACTTAAAATACCACTTTAAGATATTAGTTATACGTTTTTCTTTAAAATAATTGCATTTTCATGTGTTTTCAACCCACACATTTTTATAAATGATCAACTTTTAGAGAGTACTAATTGCACAAGAAAACTCAAGAAAAACTTTTAAAAAATTTTTTTTCTGTCACGACAGAAATTTTAGCTGTTTTTCTTCTTATAATATTAAAGTATTACATTTGTATGAAAAATATATCAGGAATAAGAACTGAAATTATAAAATTATTAATATAAAATGCCTTAATTTAAAAATTTTACATGCACACATTTCACAAGGAAGAAAAATTACATTATTGTATTGCCTCGGAAATATTCTGCTTTTAATACTACACATTCTTTTTTATAGTTATTATTTCTATTTATAAAATAGATTTTTTTTATCATAACGCATTTTTTAGCTTTTTTTTCCTAAAAAGGGGGTGTGGCTGAATTGCCTAATTTGTTTTCAAATGAAGTTTTATTCAACTTCTAACTTTCCAACATGCACAAGTGATATATCAATCGAAAGATAATAATGCAAAGAATAAGATTAAATGAAAATAAAAAAAAAACGATAGGTTTGTGATTTTTAGGGTACCAAGTTTTCTTAACTTTTAAAAGACGATTTTGAGAAGCAGCCACGAAATTCCATACTCCAGAGACACCGGCTTCACTTATATGACTTTATCAAAAATTACACATGCTTCAGCTAAAACTCTCAGATTTATCAAAACAACGTGTAATATCCAGTTTATACCATTACATCTAGCAACTATTACCTCACACCATCCCGTACTCTCTAATCTTACATCTCTTTAAATACCCATCTTAATCTGCATGTTACGGTTCTTTCGTAAGACGAGATTCTTAAACAAAGTTTCCCTAGAGGTTAATTGAAAACGCGTGAGATTCTGATACAGCTTTTCTTATCATACCTTATTCCAGATGCCTCTTGAGCCTAATAATCAACTGGATTTTGTTAAATTGATTTTAAAAAATAGCCTTTTTTTATTTGTATTGCATCAATATTTTTTAAAAAAAAACCTTGAATTTAAGAAAAGAAATCAATTTTAAATATGTTTAAGATGATTTCATTGACATATTAAAAACATTTTGCATTCGTATTTTCGTAAAAGATAAAAGTGTACAAATTCAGCTTCTTTCAATGTGTCAACATCCCATCTAAAAATAACCAGTGCACCTAAACATACATATAAAAGGAAACGTAACGATCAGCTCCTGATGAAAATTTCTCCCACTTCCAGGCTATTCTTTCCTGTCGTGAGGTTATTTGTATTTCTGCCTTTACATATAAGTTAATGTCCCATAGTAACTAACATATATGACTTAGGAGAGAAGGAAGGGGGTGTGGGGTTCTTTCTTTTCTTTTTCTTTTCTTGGGTACGATGTTGGCACGGAATATCACTTCTTTTTTGATGTATCAGTCTCGTCCTACATGAATACTAACGCCACAAATCGTAATGGTTTGGTAAATGGCAGTCAGTCACGCAATCTGCTGGAAAAAAGTGATGACATCAGCTACTATTGAGGGAGGGGGGTGATTTGTCATTTTTTATCCTTGTCGGATGCATTTCGTGCTTACGGTCAACTTACAGTCTTTGGCGAACTTTTTCTTGTTCTCTGGCAATAGTTTCCTATCGTTGAGTATTTAATTAAAAATAACACTTTTTCAAGGTTATATTTGCTATTGGGTAGATAGAAAATTGTTCTTCCTTTTATTCCATATGCTTGAATAGGAGTGGAGATTTGAATAGAACACGATAGGTTGTAATAAATACTGTTTTAGTTTCATGGTTATTGGAGTTTTAAATAAACTTTATACATATATGTTGTGGGACTTAAAGTTTTTTTTTTTTATAATTTAACGTATTTAATTTACAAACATATTTTTTTAAGGTATCTGACTACGTTCGGAACCGTCATTTTGCAAAAGCGTATGAATGGATAATATTTATGATATTTAGTGTCCCTTAGATTAGAAAATGCATATAAAATTGTTTTAAGAATATTATTGCAATAAAAATTACTTAAGTATAATATTTTGACAAAAAATTAACATAGAATGACCAATTCTCAAAACTTTCTCCTCTTATGAAGAACAATTCTATAATAATAATATTTTGCCTGTATATACAGCTTAGAACTCTGTACAGAGGCTGAACTAGAATTTTTGAAATATACAACTTAGAAGTGGATTTATCCATATTTTACTACAACAGAGGGGAGAAATTTTAAGAAAAAAAAAGCCGATAATTATTTCAATTGGTAGTAACTCTAAAAATAATGTGAATTTTTAAAAAAATCTTAGATCAGACTCTCTGGAGAAGTCTTTACTTTATATAAGCAAATTATTATTATTATAGAAGTATTTTTTATGAAAGGAGAACGTTTTGAAAAAAGATCATTCTCTGAGTTAATTTTTTGCCAAAATAGTGTACTTAAATAAGTTTTTTTTGTCATAATGTTCTTAAAACCTTTTTATGCATGTATTCTAATATAAGTGACTCTAAATATCATGAAAATTATCCATTTATGTGCCTTTTTAAAATCACGGTTCCGAAAGTAGTCGGATACCTTAAGAGAAATTTTATTTAAAAGCAGATATTTTTTGTCACACAGGTAGTTATATTATTAAAATAAACATATTTATGGTGTATATTTATTTAACATAACAGTATTGAGCTAGTAAATTTATCAAGTTAAGTGCTGATTGATAGTCCCGTTATAAGAAATATTTGCTTTAGTCTAAGACTTTAATTTCTTTGATACAAGTAAGAATTTATATTTTTAATAAGCGTGTAATTATATTGTTATACAAGGAGAGAAATGCTTTTTAAACCATTACAAAGTTAATCTAGTTTTGTTAGAGGTGAGTGAGTGAGTGAGTGAGTGAGTGAAGATTAACGTCGCACTGATCAGCTGCACGAGGGCTTTTGGCGACGGACCACGTAATTTTGAACCATGGTCAAGTGACGTGGACGACACCTGAGCTGGCACTCCCCTCTCCTAACTACCACACCACACCAACGGGTTGTTAGAGGTGCAGCGGTGTGGTTAAGTACGAAAAAATTTGTCTTATTACTTATTTTCATCTATTAAAATTGTTTTAAAAAGATAATAATAGCTAAATAATTAAAACTCATTTAATATAAATATTCATTTTTTATTTTTCTTTGAGAGAATTTTATCAGAAAATAAGTGCCTATTTAAAAGGTAATTATTTTTATTTCGGGAAAAAATAACTCTTTGTACTTATAACAATAAAATACAACCATCTGGATTTGGAGAGAA